GCTTACTCTCTTCAGGTGGGAGTTTCTACTTCACCATCAATATGGAAAAAATCTCCTATCAAGAAAGATATTTTAATTAGCCGAGAAGGCAATATTAGAACAAAAGTCGCAAACCCTAAGCAAGGATCTCAGATAGACCAGGAAAGTGAGGCAACTAATCCATCGCACGAGAATTTAATTCAAAAAATAAATGATAAACTAAAATTGGTTAATGAATTAATAACACATCAAGCTGATTATACCAATGCAAGTAGTATAGATCAAGGTAAAGGATTATAAAATTTTTAGAATTAGAGTTATAGAATATAAAATTCGCCTAATATTTATATTTACTTCATTTATTTTCACCACTATGGGTGGATAGTTGTTGAAAGCAACAATACCTCCAGTAAAGTAGTGGGAAATGACGGATTTCATTTGGAACATGACAAGGTCAAGAAAGATGATCATGATCATGGTGAATCATACAAAAATAAGATATATTTTCGATCCGATGATGACGACTTAATCAAGAAAGAACTTGACAATCCATCTGGAGAAAATCTAAAAATAAATCTTATTCAACTTTATCATGAATTAAAAGAACAGAAAAAGCTATTAGAATTGCAATACTTTCATCTTCTTCAACAGGAAAAAGATTTGTCGACAATGTATGAAGACTTTAATACTGCTGAAGAGCCTGTAGTCTCTATGCCAAAAGAGAAATACGACAATGAAAATGAAGATCAAGATACGGCCCAACTTTTAGGACAAAATATTCAATACATTGGTACCACTCATGAAGAAAGTAATCCATCTCATCGGAGTAATACTCGTGATTGCTTACCTAAATTTAATCAGTTACAGTCAGATAGAAATGAGTCTAATATTATTAACCAAGATCAAGCCAACTTTCCTGTCGATCCAAATTTGAAACTAACAAAAGATTTGACAATTTTTAAAAAGCCTTATAGTAAATCCTTGGCCAATTATCAACTTACAACACCGTCAGATCAAGTTAATATTGATAAATTGCAACAAAAAATTATAGAAAATCAGCAATTTATTAAACACTATCTACGATCTCTTGAAAAGTCTATAGAATTAAATGTTACAAATCAATCAGTAGAATTACTAGATACCAAAGAGATACATCGTAGATTGTCCAATAATACTAATGATGATCAATCCTCTATTGGTGATCCAAAAAATCAAAGATTGACGCCATCTCGACCCCCAAAATTGAACCATCTAGAAAGAGAAGAACATCGCAGTGTAGATTACAGTTCACCATCAGGTCGTAGCTCTCCTAATAAACTGCGGCATAGCAATGTCAATCTGGATGAAAGTGATTCAGACAATTTAACCGATATTGCATTGTCACAAATCAAACATAGAAAGCAAATTGCAATACACAATAATGATAATACTAGTAAAGACCTAAAAAATGATTATAGTGAATTATCAACAGGCTATATTTCATCTCCACTAACCCCTAAACGAGCAGTTCGCGTAACAACCAATCGATCTGAACCTTCTAAGAATGAACTTCATGGGCATATAAGGTACCATGTATTAAATAAATGCACTTTTCTATTTATCTTTCCGTATAAGATGATCGCATGAACAATTCTATTTCCAAATGATCGCGTAGAACATGCTTTCACTCTCAAAAGTACCGATCACAGTAGCAACAACGAATAATATTCTGATTTCATATATTTATTATCATATGATTTCTTTGGAAAGCTAGCTTAGCCTAGTCCTTACATTTATAGGCTAATTATTCTAAATCTTTCAAATTTTATTGAAATTATTGTAACCATGTATTCAAGACTGAAAGACTTAAGTAATTTATAGCGCAATATAAGCGTATATTAGAATCTTAATTATTTTCCTGATATACTTAGACGATAAAGTGCTCTAGATTATCTTACAGTAATTGATTGATGAATCTTGAAGAAGCACTCGTTGATAATGTAACATTACTTATATTATAAGTAAAATAAACATTCAACATATCTAAATGCAATATTTCGATACTTATATGATATAGAAATTGGCAAACAGAAGAAAATCTGGAAAGGAAAGGACGACCTAACGCTGTGGGGTCGCGTTATTCAAAAGGAGCATCTTTCAGCTTTGACATCATTAAAGATCAGGAAGATTCTATGTTGGAAGATGTGTTCTTTGTTCAATAACATTTCTTAGGCTATCTAGTGGTAATCTTACTACGGTTGCTATCCATTATTTTTTGTTCAATAATTGTCTTTGATATATCATATAATCCAATACTATTTCCTATCGCTCACACAAACAATTGTATACGTATACACCATACAGGTACTTCAACCTTATTGACCTGATTTTATGTACATTTAAGCCGTAAATATTTAGAGCGAACTTAATGCATCAACACTGAAAGTCAACACCTTGTATATTAGAATAATTTACCCTTGCGTTCTATTTTACTCCCTCTATACTAAAAGAAATTATTTTGATAACCGTACATGAGTGCGACATCGTAAATTTTACACTAAAATATACCCCAAATTTTATTCCTTAGCGGTGAAAAGTTGGCGATTTTATTATCATGAGCATTTTTATATCCTGTTAAAACATTAATGTTGCTAGTAGTTATACTGAAATAGCATAAAATATGTTAAAATATCAAGCAACGTCGCAATACTAGAAATAAGAAAATCTGTAATGATACTTTCCAATCCAATCTACTTGAAAGCTTTTCCATGATCTATATTTATGAGTGCATACCTTTTGAGCATTCCTGCAGTTTTAAACTTAGCCTATGTAACATCTAATATAACATTAAGATTGATTGTATATTTAGTAGCTCTATACAATGCCATAACTCCCGTTAAACTGATGGTTTATTTCAAATGAAATATCATTTGTACTAACTTATTTCACTTTAAATCTTGTAACTACACTTGTATGCTCTTCAAGCGTATGCATTGCTGAACATTAACTCTGAATAAAATATCCTAACACATCAATGAATATTTAGCATTTATCACTTGCTCACATGTTCTTCTCTGTTATTTCTATATTAATATTAGTAAGATATATATAATAGTGTAAGTTAATTCATGACTAGTATTTAAATCTTAAAGTGCCGTAAAGTCGAAGTTTTACGTCATTTCCATGAACAACAAAAAGTATATTACATTTATAAGTGTATTACACTGGTTTGAAGTACAAAATTCGTTCTTAAGTATTTAATCAACCATTTAAAGACTGTACTCTAATCTTGACGACAGTATTATAAGACCTTATACCTAGATTTACTAGCAAGAATCATTTCACTATTATCGAAATATTAGTCGTTACTACCAAACATAACACGCATATACTTACCACTGCACTGTTGCCAGATAGATAGAATTAGAATATTCTAGTATTGTTCTGCAATCATGATAACTTCTAATTTGTTGTTTACATTATTCATGATAACTTAAAACTACCCTTCCGAAATTGTTTTACAATCATAAAGCTAACTTTCGACCGCTAAAACTAAAATAATTATAATCTGAATCAAGTTGCCCATGAAGTTGATTCTAAGCTGTAAACTAAACTATCTGCATTAATCAAGTAACATTAATTACTGTTTTACCGCTAGTATAGTATTCACTCTTAAGCTATACTACTTTTGACAGCTGAAATATCTTGTTCCATTGAGTTTCATTAAGGAACATCGCTTTACTGTGCTAATTCCTAACCGGTAAACTTCAAGTACCTGTACCCTACTTCAATCATTCCTATCTTACATATATGGGTATTAAAATCGTTGCTATTTTTGTACTTATTCTGCTATCATTGTAATATCGATTAGCAAGCTAAATCATCTTTGATAACAATTAAAATATTTATTGAAATCAAATTCTATCAGGTAACATCATTCTGCTATGCTAATTCTTGCGTAGCAGATTGTAAGTACCCTTCTATGACAATTTATGCAGTATTTAAATCGGAACTATTTCTACACCTATTACTTTTCTGTCATCTTAACATCAACTAATAAGCCAAATTATCTTTGATAGTAGCAAATTAAGATATCTATTTACTTCTCATTTTATTAGACAGTATCATTTTACTCCACTAATTCCTGACTAGTAAAGCATAAGTACCTTCCTGTGACGACTCCCACACCGTAAAAATCGGCACTATTCTGCTATTCTACAGCTGTTATTATAATGTCTGCAAAATTACCGTTGATGATTAATTAGAATTGAAAGGCCTCTCGGTATGATTTGCTATCACTAGGCTAACTCTTAACAAATGAAATTAGAATTTTCTCTCTTGAAGAGTTGAATAAATGAGTCATTTGCTAGCATGATAATTGATATTAACCGTTAAATAATATTACTGAAGCGTATCTCAGTATGATTTGCTGCCACTAAGCTAAGTTCATATCTAAAATTCGAGTCTCTTCCTTTAAAGAATTGAATGAACGAGTCATTTAGTAATATGATAATTATAATTGATTAATTGATATTAACCGTTGAATAATATCATTAAGATGCGTTTTGGCATGATTTACTGTCACTTAGCTAACTCCTAATGGCTAAAATTCGGAGTCTCCTCCTTTAAAGAGTTAAATGAATGAGTCATTTACCAGCATTGTGATCAATCTTAACCGTTAATTAATATTATTGAAATGCACCGCAGTATGATTTTGCTATCACTAAGCTAACTCTTACTGGCTAAAATAGGAGCTTCCTCCTCGAAAGAGTTGGATGAATAAGTCATTTACCAGCATAATGATTGATATTAAATGTTCAATAATATTATTTTTGGCTTGTAGTACACTAAATTACATGTGTACTAAGGTATCGATGGATAAATATGATTTTACTATCATTACGATATTTAGCAGCGGTAAAAAGTGTTATATTTTCCTTGACAAATAGTATTACTAAATAGAAATCTTGTGGAATGAAAATCAATTAGTGCTATTTTACTATGACCATATGCAATCCCTAAGCCTCGACTATCCAAATTCTCATCTATTTCCATTTCTCAAAATTCATACTATACAGAAATTAAGCTTATATTTACTATTAGCCAGGAGAGAAATGATGGACTACGATAGTATACTTGGCAAGTAACTTCAAATAGCTATGTAGTACCAATTACAATTAGCCTATTTTTACTTGGAAAATAATAACACAATACAAAGAGATATTGTTATGAAAATGAGACAGGAGGCTTAATGGAGCCATACTGAAAAATATCGCTCATCATGCGTAGTCATATCACCATGGCAGCCTATCTAATATAGCATAAGGCAAAATGAGGCAATTCATGTATGGAATTATTGACTAAAAAAAGATAGAGCTGTTTCCGTAACATACGTGCCAGTGTCATTGTTTATTTGTCTTACTATTTGCTGTAAAAACTAAAGGATAGTCAAGTAGTTATTCTCTGTAAGTCTTTCCCTCCATTCATCGTCGATTTGGATCCAGATTACTGTCACTATTACTATTTTTACTATCACTACGGCGACGACGACGGCGACATAGGCTAAGCTGAAAAAGAATAAAATTCCTATCTCCATCCTTATTCAACCTATTGTATAATTTCTGTCTACAAATAGAGACGATAGTGCCATACTGAGATCATTCAAACCTATTCTTTTTTGAATTCTTCTCTGTTAATTTCAATGGTAAAAGGTAATTGAATTGTACAGTTGGCATCTATTTTCTTGGGATAAAAGGCAACAAACAAAGTTGATTTATACTCTATTGCTTATTTATCATCGATTTTTAAAGCCTAAATCCGTTTATGTCTTGCTTTTAACGCTACAACTCAAATGTAAGTGCAATCTTCATTCGTATTTTCACTTCTTTTTGGTTATACTAAATGAGAAAAAATGAAAAAATAATATCAACATGACAAAGAGTCCATTGACGACCATTTTAAGAATGTTTAGATTAAAAAAACAAGTTGCAAAGACGTCGAATCTTCGCTTTTTGTTCTCATTATACCACGAAAATATAAAATATCATAATAATGTCATCATCTATAAAGTACGAGTAAAGTTAGTCTGCCATGTTACTTCGTTTCTAAATCAATCCGGAAAAAGATATCATGTAGGATTATAGGGGTGTTATTTCATACGTTCTATCCTTCAATAACAGTAATAGCTTGTTAGTGCTGCCTTTTAAGATAAGGTATTTCATTGAGATTAGGCTAGTCATGAAGTTTGAAGTCGTCTCGTCATGTTTATAATTGAATCAGTAAGATTAAGATTAAATGTTGCGTAAGGCACGGTTAGGACTTTGAACTTAACGATTCAAGTCTGATATTATTTTAGCCTCTTCTAAATTGTTTTGATCACACCTACATGATATGGCTACTATTCCACTATGTTTGATTGAAACAGTCTTTTATCCTATCTTTTAACTTTTAGCGTCGCCAGTAGATAGAATACCGTAGTCGATAAATATTAATAACCATCATATTAACAAAACATGATGTTGTATATTGAATGAGTTTTTAATCTTCAGTTATGTCAAGATAACAACATAAAATAGATGACTACGCGCTCTATTTTCATATACTGTAGCTATAATTATCCTATACTAAAGTATAGTGTACAGAGCTGTATCATTCTATTCATGATTTATCGTTCTATCTTTTATTTCATTTTATACTACAAGTGAGGATATTTATCACTAATAATATTATCCACTTTCTTCGTTGATTGTTTTTGAACAGTAGCATCATGTCCATCCAATTCTTCCTACTTCACTTAGCATCCTTATCGCTACTCTTGCTTGGTCTAGCTAGTTTAAATCAATCTCTTGGTAAGGTGTTAATATCAGCGTAATGACTAACGATAGATTTAATCAATTGCTCTTACAATATAAGATTTTATACACGTTGTTGAAAATATTGGAAGAAAATAGATGTATTGCATAATCATTTTTCAGTTGACTTTGACTAATTTGAAGTAGTTGCCTACACCAGTCACACTACTATAGCTAATCTATCTTAAATAAAACGTTAATTTCATCAGAATTTTATTTTGATTAATGAACTTAGCTAATAATTTGATACATTAGTCAATTTCATCTACCATGGTGCGTTAACTATAGCTTCAATTTTTCTATTTTAACCTCTTAACACTTTTATCAACTGATGGATCATCAATGAATGGATGCTGACTGCTATCAATAATTATCATCATCTACCGCAGTTATTCAAAATGTCAGTTGCGGTAAGTAAACTTTTTGTGTAAATGCATAAGGTCATCAATTCAGCTAAAAGAGTTGTAGTTTAGTCTGGAAAATAATAAACGATATTACTTATTAAAAGTTATTTACCCATCATGTATCGATTAAACTAGTATTCATCAATGCTAAATTCACTAGAAAGATTTAATAGAGAGAAGTAAAAGCATTACCTACTCGATTTATGTTGACCAAGATAATATTAATGGCAATAATTAAACGATCACTAGAATATTAATTGAGCAAGACAGGGAGCAACAGTTTGAGAAGATAAATTGATCATGATCGATAGCAAACTTTACTGAAAGTCTAGATGCTATATGACTTTAATTGAAGGACTGGTACTTTTTTCATGATATTGATTAGAGATAATAAGCGGTATTAAGTTTTAAAAATTAGTTTTCGTGGCAAGGATAATTGTATCAGTTCTCTTTAGAATATAACTATCTTCGTATACATCCTTTACTAACCAGTATAATCTAGTAAAGGTTTTTCAATTCTTATGTTCATAATTATTTATTGAGGCCAGCTTTACTATTAACAGAATTGTAAATAGATCCTTTATAATATTTCTTTCTTTAAATGTATCCTTTGCCAATCAGCGTAAATCTAGTAAAGGATGTGCGCGCGAATAGCATATATGTATTTAAAACTATAATTTTAAAGTAGCATTTTTTACCTGGCGATAGTAGTCCTTCGCTATAGAAACATTACCTTTCTCCAGATACATTCTTCGGCAGTCAATGTAAATATAGTAAAAGTTTTCAATAGTTTTTCTCTACGTTATTATTAAGAATATACCGAATTAATGGGGCACTACAGTAAATTCTAAACATGAAAATATCAATAGCAACGGCTATATCGCCAGAAAAATGCTGTCAATTTGACAATGTTAAGATTAGAAAGCCAGTTGGTTTTGCTTCGCTACCAAATATTAACATGTTATATTTAAGGTTCTATTAAATTGAGTGGCTAGCAATCACAAGTAAAGATATTTTCAGATTCAACTGCAAAACAATTATAAATCTCCACTTTTAAGATTGAAAAATAGATTAATTTTTATTACTAAATATTCACATGTATACGCGTATGTGATCATCGATTAATCATTCATTAAATACCAAATTCAACAACTCTATTTCGCGTACGGTTAATGTAGTGTCTAAAATTCCATTCGCCTAGAATAGGATTCTCTTCATATTATTTTTGAGCCCCCTATATAAAAATTCGTAATGATAACTTCTTCGTAGAGAAATTCCTGTCAATTTTACAGTATTGATACTTTGAAAATGATACTATAATTATTATTATATTGACTGATTGCATCAACTACCGTAATTAATTCTTCTTCTTCCCTAATTAATATTTATATGTATATTATCATTGATACATCATCATGTATTAAGCAAGTCTTCTCTTTTCTTTCAATCCTGATTTGTCACTGTATGCGAAAATTATTTCCGTGTCAATGTTGCTTCAAAATAATCCAGTTTGTGAAACAAAAGGAGAAAGTAGTCACGAAAAGGATAACCAATTCGAGCTATTGCCTCATAGTTATTGGCCGAGTGGGGTTATTCACTCGCCTAATCCTGACCAATATAACTGTATATGGAAGATTTCCTACCAGCACGGGTAAAAAACAAATTATTAAAATTAGGATTGATCGTTTTTGATACAAAGCTACATTAAAAATTTTCTTATAAACTACTATGTAACAAATGTAAAGTATCCTCAGCAGATTCAGTTCGAGAACTGCAGCAATGATACTTGTTCATGTCATTCCGATAGCTTTTACACTTTGCTTAGCCGAGGTTTTAGCTACGCCTCTGATACAATTATCCTAGTTTATATTCTATTCAGGTGTAAAAATTATCATATCTACTAATTGATCGATATCGGCAGTATATTTAAAATTGTATAGATTAACTGTTGTCGCATTCATTTTACTATACTTATTAAACAATTTCCAATATTTCTACTCATCTATCTACGATAATACTGTTACTTGAAGGCTGATATCGATCTTATGAATTAAATATTATTTTGGTGCAGGCCAATGGCTCTAATTATTAACAAGTTCGCAGGAGACGATGATGCTTCTATTATCGTTAGAGAAAGAGATTCATTTCACTACCAAGTCTCCGGTCTACAATTAAAATCCAATCATCGAAGCGAATTTGTAAATTGGGCTGTTCCATTAACTCCAAGAAAAACTAGCGGTGAAATTGAAATATTATATCCTACAAACGTGTATTCTCCATTGGCGCATTTTGAAATGCAATTTGGGCCCGTTTTTGGTTAGAAAAATAACTTATCTATGACTTTGCTCTAGCTCTTTAAACAATAACATAAATATTCCATAATGTTATCTAATTTTCAAATATCGCATTATATTATTAACTGTGGACATTTAATTACTAAGTTTTCCTTTTTATTGGCATTAATATAGAACAACAATGTAGTAATGGATTAGTCATACGATCTGCATCTGGTCGCTTCCGGAAAGCACCATCGAATAATCACGATCTGGAATTTTGTTTGTGGAAATTTCAGTCTGTACCGGGATCTGCATTGGTTTTTGTATTCAATACGTCTTACTTTAAAATGTGCGATGGTAACATTATTACTTATGGAACAGGCTTAGTGCCAGGTAAGCTGGAACTATAATATTAAATGAATCACGATACAGGTATTAAGGATGCATTAATAAAGATTCGTTCGACCTGATAGAACTATTTTTAGCTGTATATTTGTCGGAAGTAGATATAACAGCGGCAGTATAAGTTACAGTAAAAGAATTATAATAAAGCGCTAAATAAAGATAATATAGAATTGTGAAGTCAAACACTTTTGAATAAGTTCCATTAATTTATCTGCTCTAATTTACCTTTATTATTAACTAAATACATTGCGTTATACTGTTATATATCGCACCTGATAACTTTCAGAATGGCACTACTAGTAAATTAGTTAGTCAAGAGATATTTTCTTTTACATCACTTTCGTTAGCTTTCCTGAATCAATATACGTAACTTACATCTTATATCAAAATATTCTTATTAATTCTATTATAAATTAGGAAAAAATCAAGTTGGACGATTACGAACAGCTGAAAAAATTGTCAATAATATTACTTTGCTATCATCGACAGCTTGGTTTATGATATTACCAGCATACCGTGATAGAACAGTTCGAAATTCATATTTTGAAATATCGTGGTACTCTGCTCCAATATCTGGTAAAAAAATGGCGTAATAATATGCAGCCTTGCAGTTATTAATAAATATTATCTTAATATGATGCATAACTAGATATATTCATAGTAGTTCATAAGAATAATTCTTGAAAACTAAGAAGTATTTATATTTTAAATTTATTATAGATGTCAAGCAATACTTCCCTGTCAGCGATTACTATTCCAACTCTTATTTTAGCTGGGCTTTATCTTGTTTTAGCGTATTGATTATCGTTATAGCTATAACCTGGTTTGTTCGATGCAAACGATCAGGTTTTCGGCGATCGCAACGAACTCGCCGAAGAACTAATGGTAATAGGCGTGATACCAGAAGACGAGAAAGTAAGCTATTCACTAAATGCACTATAAAATTATATGCATTCTCTTCAATGATTTTAGTAAAATTATCTCCTAATCAATAAATAAAATCTCAACAAAATCAATATGAAATTTTTTAACCATCCTATTCATCAAACCTAAAATAGGAAATCAACCTCCACCAAATTATGACGACTATATAAAATCACCAGAATATCGACAACCAAATAATCAAGCACAAGAATCAATTCGTCAACCACCGACTTATATTCAAGCTCTTGCAATGTATTCCAGAAATAAAGATGGTTCTGTCATGCCGGAACGTGAACAAATTGAAAGAGTTAGAACAGCTATAGAAACGACAATTTAATTATTGCCTAGATACATTAAAACAAGTTTCTATCGATTTTAAAATAGATATAAGCTAACAGCCCTGCCATCGATCAGACTTCCGCAAAACTAGATGTATCAAATGTATTTATACACTTATCGTGCTTATTAAGAATGGGCTTAAAATTTATATCCGATAAAAATTTGATAGCATTTTTTAATATCACAAAATTACGATGCAGAATTATTCGTTCGCTACAAAAAAAAATCGTTCAATTACGTATAACTAAGATCGGTTCCATAAATAAATGGTATGTTTTTAGGCACATCATCATTTTAGTCATAGCTGCGTATATTCGTATTTCTTAAATATGCCAATTCATGATTAATTAACAATCAATGATATTGTTTAAGTTAGTTCATATAGATTTTCACTTAATCTTGACTATTGTAATACTATATTGCTAGAAATACCTCAGTTTTCTTCTTCATGGACAACTTCGAGTTATAGTATATACTATATACCATAGTGTAAATAGAATAATAAATTGACAATATCATATAAAAGACAAATCCCATTATTGTCTGGCTACAAACCTGAATTAAACTTTGCTAAACTAATGAAATATCTTGCAAATTTGTATGTGGTAAACGTATATGCATATTGAAATATGTACTGTAAATATATTTACACAGCAGCTAATTAGAAGTTATATATTGATGCTTGTACTTCAACCGATTAAATACATTGTATTTCTATTTCAAATACAAGATTCTGATTTTTGTGTTTATGGTATGTATCATTGCCATTAAATGGACTAGCTTGTAAATTTAAAGTTATTCAAGTAAACATTATCGTCATTATAACGAAAATAGGCGATTACGCTTTTTCTAGCTATTGCATTAACAAGCTGAGTCTGAAAGTGTGAAAGCTCATTAGTTCTTTATCGTTATATCTACAGCTAGTTCAAATACTTTCATATGCTGTAGTACACTTACATACTTATAATATTAGTACCATATGTTGCAAAAATGTATCCGTATAATTAAATATTAGTATGCAATATAGTGCGGCCCAGTGTACGCGTACGATACAGTATATATAGACATCGAGAAATGTGTACTGTATGATACTTTGTATGTTTGAAAAAGAGATAAATATTGCAGATAATCCTCCTTTTTGATAAAGTTGTCAGTAAAACTGCGTGTGAAAAAGTATAACAGGAGTGGGACACATTCACAAGAGTATTAGGTACGACATACAATAAAACTGAGGCTTTACATCATAAGTATATCCATGGAGAATTTATTTATAAATATAATTTCTAGGCTATAATAATATTCTATTAGTGATGCTGTATACTGAATATTTTTAATTCACTTTGTTTATCACAGGATAATATCAAGGATGAAAATATAGCAATAAATACAATCACTTTTTATTAGTACTCCGTTATCGACGTAAACTAATTAATAATATAATAGTTATTTGCAATTTTATTAATGAATTCAACAGAACTTGTGTAACATAATTTCTGTTACGACACTTGTCTACATTACGATAGCCTCCCACAGATGAAAGGGCATTTTGTAAAATGATTATGATGACCTATAAATATGTACAATAAAGTTTAATAAAAGTTGTTTGACGGTTGCGTTCAGAATGTAAAATACTTATATTAAATAATTCACAAAACAAAAATTAACAGCATAATTCCTAAGCAGTGACGGTCATTAAGAAAAGATCGTGTAACCTCTGATACTACCAATAAAAATTTAACTTTGCAGCATTGGATATTTATAATTGATTGTTTTCGTTAAACTGCTTTAAGACACAAATTAGAATTGTGAGCAGTGCATGATAACAAAACAATTTTTCGAATGCGTGAATATCTAGATATAAAGGTAGATTATGAATAGGGAGATACAATTTAGTGTGTAGTCATATTTGGAGCAATACTGGCGCTAATACAAATAACTAATAATAAACAAATGTCTTATTCTGAATATGGAACAACATATTTATAAGATAAATTAAGAGTAAGGTATACTACAGATACTTGTAAATTTTACTTTTACAAATCTGTATTACAAATGCTAATCTAAACGTAAATTGTACAGAATGTTACGCTTGCAAATATGCTATATCATTACACTTTATAATTGTATTTATAGCTGCTACTGAACTGATCCCAGACTTCTGTGTCGACATGCATCAATCAATTTCGCACAGCACAAGGAAAAGGTATTTCTACAGATTTCTATTAATAATTTATTAATTATCAATCTATTCATACACTATGGGTAACATTGCATTTAGGAATAAATAATATCGCAGCATTTCATACTTTAAATGCGATAAATGATTTTACTTACATTACGAATTTTGGTTTGGTATGTTTACTGATATTACATTAAAGTTAACGGATAAATAGCCAGTAGGTAACAGATATCGTTTCTCAATCTGAGCGCGTTCCTGATAGGCTACGCTCTTAATTTTTTGTAGTTTTTTCTCATATAAGTCTTTATCTTGAGGGGGAAAATTGATTCCTTTATTACTTAAATATCCACTGTATTTATCAGTTAATTTTAGCAGCTTCTTATCAATACTGCGTTGTAGACGAGAAAGATCCCAAATAGCTTCTTTTGGTATACCTTGTGGCTTAGTCTTTACCGTAGGTAGGATTGCGTCTGAAGAATTGCTATTATCTATTTCAGCCGATTTTTTGGTTGTTTCTGTTGTAGCAGCATAATTGTGATCTGCCGTTATCTCTGATTCTTTAGTAATCATATTTTCATGTCCCCTCGCTTCATCTGAAATAGAAACCATAATTAAATTTGATATTACACTGTAGCAAAAGATCAATCTTTCTTGCTTTAGTATCCATAATTTGAGTTTATCTTCAGAAATAGGGAAACAACTATCCTTGGATATCGCGCAATCTTTATCAATCTTAATTAATGCAGGTTTGTCCCCCATTTTAATTATCAGTATGCGTACCTAACGATTCGTCTGATCGACTCTGCTTCTTTGCAGGACTACCTTGTATCGCCTGTAAATCTTCAGTATCTACAGTGTCAGAGAATATTATAAGAGTAACCTATCAAACGGTTACGGTTGTTATTGGGCAACGTTATCGTTTTCGTATGTTACCTATATTAGATGATCTCTTTGCTAGGGGCTGCTTCTCGGCGAGATTTTCTGATATTTCTACCAGGTGCGTACTATTTGATGCTACTGTATCTTTCCCTGCCTCTGTGAACAATTGATCAAAGCCGCTATTTTCTGAGATATTGCCACTTATTGGAAACCTCCGTAAACTTTGATATCGTGCTTTCCTTTTAGAGGAATTCTATTTGAATAAATATTAAAAATTGAATATAGATCATTATCTAATAGGCTGTCCAAGGTCAGAACTCTTACATAAGTAAAACTATTGATACAATAGGTAAAGAAGAAAAAGTAAAAAATTATCTCTAAATTACTTGAATAGATATCCATTTCCTACGACATTGATTATCTGTTCGAAGACTCATTTCTTTAGAGATTTGTGACCATTTTCCTAATGCATAGCATCAAAATTTCCGTTTATAATACTTGCATAGATTAGTTCGCTAGCATTAATCAGTTAAACATTAAAATTCGCCTCCTCTTACCTTCACCAATGTGTTGAATTAGTGATGAAAGTTTCCTCTCTTCGTCTATCGTCCATCTCTTGCGATTGACTTCGGGATCGAGAACATTAATCCACCTAATGATACAACAGTGGCATCGTAATTAATCTTTGTGCTTTACAAAAACGTTCGGTTTATAGGAAAACGTAATGCTACCTGTCTCTAATTTGTATATCGGTCCGCCACGGTAGGAAGGTTTGCTGAATCTTACGCCAATGTCCTGATCCATATTTCTTAATTCCTTCCTCCAGAAGCTTCGTTACAACATCGATAAATAAAAGGGTTTTATTTAACTTTCAATAATTTACATTAATTCTTTATCTAAAGTTACGAAATTGGGCAAGATTGATATATATTGTATTTCAGTCATTACATCTGGTGCAGCCTATACTAAAATGAGACTTCAAATAAGACACTCAGGATATCTAAAGCAGTAAAGTATGCCAGGAAAACTTCTATTGATATAACTTCGAATGAAAGGTGATGAAAATTTGGTACTCAGTACAGTATTTATAGTTTCCGCTGTTTAATACTATACGTATTTTGCCTCAAGTCGGATTTATAAGCTAGATATCGTATTTTACCGATTCTCTATAAATATTAAGCATATATAAAAATCGATACGACAATAATATGTTCAGCCAGACATATGTCAGCACTCTTTATTAGCTTTAACTGTAAGTGGCTAATATAAGTCATAGTAAGCGTAAATGCAAGTAAATTTAAGAATGAATGAATAAATATCATTAAAATGATTTGTAGGTTGATTCACAGTATACCTGATCTTCTTCTTTGGTAAACGCTCCTCTTCTCTTATCAGGATCGATTGCTTTCCATCTAAACATGCACTGTTGACCCGTTCTACCTTCCATATAGCTAGCAACTAAAATTCAACGGCGATTAGAAAATGCAAATCAAAGTCATTACGATAAAGCAGTTTCAATTGTATAATTTTAAATATAAAATTTTCTGACAATCTCCCCACTGATATTATAAAAATACCTTGTTGCCAGCTTGTTGTACCTAGGGCTTTAACTAGACTTTTGAGAGAATCATCCTCATCTTCTGTCCATCGACTACAATCATAGTAACAAGATATTACTAGTATTATTATTTCGACTCAAGATGCTAATAATCATGGAAAAAGTACGCCAAATTGATCACTGATCCATTCTTTATTACCTTTTAAATACACTGCTATCGTGATGTAATATATACCGTTGCAGACACTGGGCAGGAGTCCGGTTTACCTAACGTGTAGGTAGTAGTAACATCAACCAAAGTTTATTACTATTGCCAATGCGTAAAGTATGTACGTACGAGTATATTGGGTTTAACACATGATCTCGTAAAACAAAATACGACAGTTTACTTACTCCTAAAGATCTTGCAATCGCAATCCAATTCAAAAATTTGTTTTCTTGCGCGAGATTTATAAGGTTTTGATCTTCCGTTGCTGACCAAGGGCCATAGTTGATATTAGGGTGATCAACATTAAACCATTGTAACTCACACTGAAAATGAGTGTGTCGAGGCAACTAAAAATGTCGTATAATTTTAATATTTTAAAAGTTTTACATAGTAGAAACGATATAAGCCTGTATACTATGACAATAAAATAACTCACAAACTGAGAACTAATTCTTCGCCAGTTGATTTTAGGCATACGGACTTTCATAAGTAATTCTTTTAATGATAGCGATCTAAATACAGTTGAAATTTAAATATTTATTGCTCTTGACTAGTAAATTTAGTAAGACAGATTTAAATGATATCATTGTATTTGGTTGGTAATAAATAGTTCCTACCGAAACTTATCAATTGCTTTTTGTTCCTTGCTGATTTGGCTCTTGATATCAGGATCCTCAGATTTTTTATATTGGATCTCTAAGCCAGTGCGTCTGTTGGATGAACATGTTAATTACTGGTTATTACTAAGTTCATAACAACAAACTTTATCGGTATATAATAAATAATGATGATACATTCGTAGATCATTATCATGTACTAAAATATTATACTCTGTAGTATTCTTGCCAAATGACAAAAACTTACTTGAATAAAATTGGAGCGATTTCTTCCTCCAGCACTTGTTCTTGGACCGCAGCAGCAAGCAGCTTCCTATCATTAGCAGTCCCTGCAGAACGGCATAAATGCAATGTTTTAACGTACAATACTGTAAGTGTTTCGATTCATATTGAAAACGTCGATACTTAAATATTACATTTTTTAATATTAACGACAACAGAATTTCTAGCTCTTTCTTCATTACGAGCATCTTCATTCTTCGGTGGGGTCTAATAAGATATAATAATGAATATGTTATTAAATTATCGAGGAGGCAGCAGATTACCATTTTAATGATAGTCTATATGCGAATGTTCATACGTAGTATATAATACAATTATGTCGTCGTGATACAGTTAAGACATCCAAATTGTAACTACCTTTCCGCTGTCGTCGACAAAGTATGGAACAAATTTTCGTAAAGAACGGTGCCGCATACTAGTTCCGGGCCTCACCAAAACTGAATTGATGTTGGCACTTACACGTTGCTACAAAAATATGTAGTAAAACTGTATGAAATGTCAAATAAATTGTAACCATTGCTAGTCAGTGATATCTATGTGATAGTAAAGTATCGCGACTTTAATATTTTATTCCAACGTAAAAAGAAATCTATAGTTGATTGACTAATGGATGTTTCATGCCTGCAAATTTCGATTTTCTTCCAGTGCTCTATCAACCAATTTTAAATGTATTTCAATTGCATCCTACAGTGTAGAGTCAACAGAGTACAAGTACACCTATTAATTTATAGCACCCAATATATAACCTAGGACACTCACTTTAAAAATAAAATATCAAGGAAATATCCATAGTTAGTATCGTTGCAACGTAAGTGTAGGTATGAGTACATCATTTGGACTTACTTGGTATTTTAAGCATTGGTTTAAGCACAAATGTTTCAGGCGTATATCTGGATCATGAACATCGTTATTAACGTTGTCATCCTGGTCATTGTCGGGTGGATTTAGAGGTCGACGTTGAGGAGTATCTTCCATGTCTGCTTAGCCTACATTACAGTCCGTGGTATTTGCAGTTGGATTGGTCATTAGACTTAAAAAAGATATTTGTTATCAATGGCGAATAATCTAATTTAATATTTTCTAACTCGTGGTTAATTAAGTATGGATCAGGTGATAATTGATCGCTACACCTATCAGCTTTATGTGTAAATTATACATTGATGGGATCCTTGTCTTCTCGGTTGTTAACCCTGAATATCATGTTGTAGCAATAGTTACTTGCATTTAGATGTTACTGTAAATCTGCAACTAGAATATTAATATCCATATATAGAGTGTAAGACTGAAAAGTGATTATGGATATTTAGTAAAATTTTCTTATTTATCACTCATACTACATGTTTGAGTATCCCTCCATTGGCCATACTAACTACCACAAGTGTTGACTGAGGAAATTATCAGGAACATGTATCTTTAGCAAATACGTTTAATGCTCGTATACATATAAACATATCAAATCTAGGCATTGAGGACGTACAGTTATAGAATCATGTTACTGATTCATTACTATCGTATCTTATAATGTACGGGCTAAAGTCCTATTGATTATTTCGGATGTCATGGAAATCAAACTTTTGATCACGGATACTCGGGTACATCGTGTCACTTCTACGATAATTTTATTTTTACGCGTGTCATGACCTTAACAAAATTTGGCCGATACTATTAATTCAAGTACTGAAATAGCAACAGCTTAATACGTCGTAGGATAAAAACTACCACGTCGTATGAAAGGATATAGGTAGCACAGTAAACATGATAGCTGAAGACCAGGACGAAATTGACAAGTATCAAGTTGGTTAACCCTCAAGCCATCGAAATTAGATACTTTCCTAACCCATCAACTATAACCATGGGTGCATAAACAGTAGAAAATCACTTACAACCATGAATGTAGCTCAAGGTAGTAAGCTAGTTTTAATTCTCATTATAAATACACTGAAGGTTGGCTATGGATAACTAGACTCACATCTAGTAATTCACGATTTAGCATTTTGCATACAAATGACGTCACTTCGACTACGCATAAATACTGTATTGGTATTTATAATATATATAAAACATCCATTCGCTCTTCCTTTTTTAACGTAGCATCAGCTAAATGAGTAATTTCTTGTCACTGAGTTGATATGGCCAACAACAGCCTCTACAGTACCATCCATGATCGAGTTATAACATTATGAATAGAAGGGTGATACTGCATTGATAACAACTTAAGTCAACTACAAGGCTTGAAAACATTCTCAGTAGATATTCTAACTATTTGCTTGGGACAGAATTTATTCGTATCTGCTTTAAATGAAATCTACTGAATAAATAAGAAAATTGTAGGGAAAACTAATTTTTATTGTATTGAATGACATCCATAAGTATAATAAACTCGATATGATCCTAACTTAGTGATCTGTCTAACGTATAAATGGTCAAAGAAATATGTTAACTTCAAAAATAAGGAATACAATTTTCAGCTCATGAGTGCAGTAAAATGATTTACGACTGTTCTTTATAGACCTACATAGAAAAATTCTTGTTGTGAAAGGCACTTATAATTTGCTGTCGGCTTCCCTTTGCAAGGCGATTGAACTAATAAGCAAATTGAGCTTATTCTGACATGATAAAATAGAATTAGGCAGCCAAGAATACACAAAATAATCCAAATTTCGACAGTTTCACAGCCAAACTAGTGTAGTGAATTGAAACTGAAAATTCTCCTGAGAGTTTGCGATCGACACTGTACAGTACAGTACTGTGTTAGCTGGGACAAGATTGGCGGGGTTTTGGTACAGTACAGGGCATTCACCATACAGTACTGTACTGTAGAGTAGAGTACTGTACTGTACTGTACAGTACAGTATAATACAGTACTGTATAATCTGTAACGTGTAAAACAGATGTCGTAAATAGAAGTCCTATGTGCAGTGTAGAATATAGATTTACTATCACATCTGTTTTACACATGTTTATATTTACCTGCGTAATTTCGCTTTGCTCGCACCTTCAATCTAGTTGAAACGACTAAATTTAAGCAAAACAATAATCTGGAAGACTTTAAAGTGAATCTGTTAAGCACGATGAATAATATAATTGACATTGGTATTGATTGATATCAAAAAAGTGTTGTTGATTGCATCAAAATCGTCATTTCTCTTCCATTTTTCCGACTGATCACGACACTGTTTAAATTACTATAATGTCACAAAGACGAAATAAAGCAGAAAGTACAGACTCTAAAAAAAATACTGTATGTAAAGAGTTCCACGAACGGTCCAGGACTCGTATTTGCCGATATTATTACTAGCAAGGGAAAGTTGTAGTCGTAAAGCCATTAAAGTCCAGTCAAACGTACAAATAATCATTTCAGTTATTTACAGTCAATCCAATTCCTATGCAATAGCTTTGAAATAGGTGAGTGTATCAAACACACATTCCATCTTTATTAAAAGCTATACGACTCAAGTACCTGTTCTACATGCATTACATTCAACAAGTATCGTATCGTAATATCATTAAGGATAACCGTAGGTACGGTACTACGGTATAAGATTATAAATCTACATGAAATGCCCGAAGTACGTTACGGTCATTATTTACAGTTAGTGACTGTTATATAATAGAATAGCTTCTGCAAGATTCGTAAATGATTATATCAAGCATACACTTTATATATTAATGCAATGCAGTGTCATGTCATAAATGCTTTGTCTGGTACAGATTGGTAAGATTTCACCATCGGTAGATATATTAGTATACAGCTGTAATTTAGGAATGATACTTTGAATCTACAAAGGTGCAATTTAACTTTAACGATATAGAAGTAATATGCACCACATGAAACATAATCATATAACTGAAATTCAACATGAAAATAATGGTTATAAAAAATGAATAAATTAAATAGAAGTCCCTTTTGGGACTGCTCCTTTTTTGACTTCTGGAGCATAAACGATGTCGACGGGTACTTTCGATGAAGGTTGTGAAGGCGGTACAGATTTCTTGCTAGCAACATTAACGGATTGATGTCCTCGTTTATAATATCTATTATCAGAATTATGTTAGCAAAATTAATATACCTTTCAAAGATAGCATTACTCAAAAAATGATACATTGATACGTATGTACGATGCACATAAATGTTTGTTTTTACTTACCTATACGCCACACCTCCAACAGTAACTAGCGAAATAGCAACTACTAAAGCAATAACGGTGATAACTCCAGTGCTAACTGGGCCATTTATTTGTGGATTGGCAGTTGGATATGTTGTACTCTTAGCTGTGTAGTTGGGAGCCGTGCTTTTGCTTGTAGGGTCAACAGTGGTGCTTTTACTTGCGGGGTCAGCAGTGGTGCTTTTACTTGTAGGGTCAACAGCGGTGCTTTTACTTGCGGGGTCAGCAGTGGTGCTTTTACTTGCGGGGTCAGCAGTGGTGCTTTTACTTGTAGGGTTAACAGCGGTGCTTTTACTTGTAGGGTCAACAGTGGTGCTTTTACTTGTAGGATTAGGAACGGTGGTTTTACCAGTCAATTCACCCGGCTTTTTATCGGTGGATGTCATAGCTGAAATGTTATTAATGTACATTAAATATTCCGTAAGGTTATAATAAGAAATCTACATTATCAAATTTAATTTAAAATAACTGGAACTAACTTGTTGCTGGAGTGGTTGCCGGATCTGATGCTGTGCTGCTTTCAGTGTATGGTGTAGTCACCGTAGTATATTTTTCACCTTAAGGATAAATAATAATAACATGACATACCGGTGTAGCTTTATTTCTGTTCACGCGATAGGAAACAAACAGTACTTTCTTACCATCAACAAGTGTAGTAATAACTTCTTCTACAGGAGTGTGGCTTCGACCACATTTGGTAATGGTATACATACTAATAATATAGGTGGTATTAGGTAATAACTTAGTAAGGTAAATGGGATTCACTGATTTATCAACTTGACGAGATTTAGCTTCATCACTATCTGCAGGTTTATACTGGCATAACAGTTCCGTCACACAATTTGTCTCATCTGGTTTGACCGACCAAAATACGCCTATCGCATTCTTACTGACGTTAAGATCTCTAATTTGCGGTAGAATAGGTGCTCTATAGCCAACTTGAGTAAAAAAAAGTCAATCATCTTTGATTTAGTAAAGTCTAATCTGACTAGATATTCTTGTATTACGGAAAAATTGGTAAATTACAGTAAACTAATAGACAACATATTTTCTACAGGTTAATTGAGAATTACGGAATGCTCAAATAACAAACCTAAGCGGATTTCTTGAGTATGGCTTATATTTTCCCCACAAAACATTTCATAGTTGATATTCCATTTACGGTAAATAACTTCATCGCACGAAGATCTCTCTACTCTATCGATATAATTTATAGATGGATCCGGAATTTTAACGTCCTTACACGAGACAGATGTATTAACAGAAGGCTTGCCAGTTACTGTTGGAGACACATCACTAGAACATTTCGCAATAAAATTTTGCGGTAGAGTAATTTTGTTACTAATAGGGAGTAAAACTTGGACTTGCTGACTTTTTCGTACTGTCATACCACAGGCATCAGTTAAAATCCATTCTCTTATAAGGCTATTCCCGCAACGTGAAGTGAGTTTATTACTGTCAACTTTCTTTAAAGAAAAAGCTGAACTGCCATACAGAACACACTTGGAATTGATTGAATAATTAAAAGTTTTACTGTCGTAAGTATCCTTGGTTGTCGAATGAATATCACAAGACTGCAAATGTAGAGCGCTGTCCAATTGAAGATCCGGAGACGTGGCATATAAATCTTCGTCAATAAGGCCATCACCATCATCATCGATGTTGTTTTGTAATTCCTCATCGATAATACCATCACAATCGTCGTCGATATCATTTCCTGCTGCGTGGGTCACAGTTGGAACACAGTTTCTCGATACTGCCATAACATTTGTAGCTGCTGGATAAGCAACTGATGTTCCCTGGCCAATTCCGAATATATAGGTCGTTAGCTTTTCTGTAGGAAGAGTTTGATGAAGTAAATGTGCACCTTGAGGGATCTTGAATAAAGTTGAATAATACCGATTATTAATTTTACTCCACTTCAATCCCTTTGACAAGGGCAGCATATCCATTTTTAAACTTGTGGCATTATTTGTTGTTATTATAGCCATATAATTCGTTACACTTTTATCAAAAACGCCGATGGTACTTAACAATTGTCCACTTGAAAATTGTTCTGTAGGAATTACAGACATCAGGACAGGCCTTGAAAACCCATTCTTTCCCGGTATTCCCTTAATGTATAGCATAACTGAGCAAGGCTTTGACGTCGTTATATGAAAATCTGCGTCGGATGGAACATGTAATTCGTGATAATGCCCTCTATTAATTGTTACCTTCTTGGTTGTATCTGCGATAGTAATATTGGCATTGGTCCCATCAAAAGCGCTAATAAGACGAAAGATATTCTCCTGACTATGTTCTTCGCCCGGAACAGGAACATTAATGAAGTGATTACCCCATGCTTTAACTGGCAATAGTTGTTCAACAATAAAATTGCAGTGCTCCTGATTTAGCGTCAATCGAGCACATTTATTGCCACTTATTACTGCAACAGGCTTATCAGAATTTACAATACTTCCCGTTAAATCAGTGTGTTCGTCCTTGAAATGATATGTTTGAAGCCGATTAAGTTGTATTTGTTGATATCTTTGAGAATTCTTATCAGGAGACTGCACTAAGCTAATATTGATCAGAGTATTATCTTCTACAGCTGTAATAGAGAATTGTGATGCAGAAGTTGGTTTAAAGCTGGCAATGACATACTCCTTTCCGAGTGAAGTCGTTGGTAAAGCAAGAAATCCATCTGAAGGTGACAAGACGCAATTCATACCATAAACTATAATATCCTCAGTCGCACTAACTTGAACCACATTAGAGCTTATTGTCGCACCACTTTGGCGACGATTACGAGATAATGTTAATGTTTTCGATGCCCCAGCTTCCAGTTCAAATTTATAAGCTTCGTCGTCGTCAGTTAGGATAATTATTTCAGTAGTTTTAACCGCAATAACGGTCATACCTACGCTATCCACTTTATGATCGCTTTCCAGGTAAGTCACAACGAAATCTTGTCCGACATTGTTTTGTATCGCTATATTAATTAAGGGATAAAAGAAAGAAAACAATCAATGACATCATGACGATGATTTATATTTAGATCGTAAAGTGTGGTACGGAAGCATATGTCTTCCTATAAACTACACAATGGATAGTTCAGGAAATTAGATAACTTGTATGCTATAGTTTGCATAATAAGTGTCTAAACCAAGATATCCAATCGCTTGATTGACTACCGCTTTCATCCATCCTTATTGAAGGTATGAAATTCCGATAATTCCAGAACTACGGTTTAACAGATGCAAATTCTACATAACACTATTTAGAGTATTTTCTGAAGTTTGTCGATAGTACTACAGTAGATAAAATACTTATTTACTCTGGTGACATTCTTTTAGTAGTGTACACATCATTTGTTATTAATCATCGTTATCTTTGTTGATAAAACCCTGATTATTCGTTGGCATCTGTAATATGCCGATATACTGACTAATTGTAATTGTCTAACTGCATAACGGTTGTTAGAAAACAATCGAAAATTTTCTTTTTAATCCTGTAGCCCAGATGACTGAATTTGAAGCTCTTAATAAATGTAGCTACACACATTCGGACAAATTCAAACTAATAATAATAATAATTATTATTTTAGTCAGCCCTACCAGTCCATCCATGACTAGTAGTCAACAAAGAGAAAAAGAAATCAATTAATCCGATATAATTGATACCGCGAAACTCAATAACGGCTCAGTGCCTGCCGTATATAAATAAGGACGGTATAGTACTGTACGTGTGGTGATAATTTTCAATCACGTGCAATTACTATTACTACCAGTACTCCCTACAATCCTATTGTTAAGGGGGCAAATTGGCTAATACAGTACACAAGAATGACAATAATTATATATAATATACTGTATAATTATTAGCATAGAGTGGAAGGCGCTGAAATTATAATTAGAAGCGTACTGTATGTAAAAATACGAAAGTGGGCCGGCCAACATTTTCTCACATGAAATGCATGGCGAATTTTTTGCTTTCCAATGGAAAACGCTCCAATATCGACAATTATAATCCATTGTGAAAAGTACGAATAAGTACTTAGAAACGATCTTATAGTATTTTACAATGTACAATAGCCTCGATTGACACCGTCAATCAATAGAAAGAGAAAAATAATAATGCGCCGGTAAAAGCTTAAAGGCTTATTCCATTGAAAGAAGGAATGTGCACTACAACCCTTGACTTTGGTTAAAATGACGAGGAGAGCAGAATAAGAACGTAAACTTGAAGCGACTGTACCCAAAAAGAAGAATGTAAAGTAAAATGACAGGATTAACTAAACGAATGATACATTATCCAAATGATTATATTTTATTGACGGGATAACTAAATAATGAAAAAATTCCCAGTTTATTTACTTTTATTCTAATTACTTTCTTTATACGCTTCAGTATCATTTTGTCACGAGATGGATAATTTGATAAATCTTCGCTATGAGAAAATTGTCAAGATGGTCAAGTCAGTATGACAATAATGTCGTGTATTTATGGAAGATTCATCGGATCAGATTCATCCTAGCTGGCTTGCTTGGCCCATTCCATTCTCCAAGAATAGAGGTGTGACAAAAAGGAACATCAAGATGCGGAACCATACTATACTGTAGAAAACAATAACTTGGTTACGACTAGTCAAGTACAGTACTTTACTCTGTCACTGAGTGCCTTGTACTGTACGTACGGTCATGACGGTGTAGTGATTTTCTTTGGTGCGCGAGCCAAATCTACCGCATTTTTTTAATTCTTACAGAATTGACTAGTCATAAAAATCACTCATTTCAAATCCCATCTATTTCCTACTGTGATGATGGATAGTCTGAAAAAATGTTAACTTTTAGTGATCGTACTGTAGAGTACAGCTTTGGAGTCTTTAGCACCGGTTGGTGATTTATTCACAAAGATGAAGAAATAGTTGACTGTCCATGTGATAAAAAGACATTTTTCTTCAGTCAAATCACTTACCTTTTGCCTCTAAATATGCCCAAAGGGAGATAAATAGAAGTACTTTAATATTCCACATTTGGCTGTTGAATTCCAATTTTGAAGTATCAATGAAATAAACTCGACAGTAATTTTCTCCCAACAACCAACACTTCCACTAGTAAGACGAAGACGAAAGTCTACTACGACGACAAAAATAATAAATAAATAAACACTTGTAGTATCCAGTCCCTGATGACTATTAGAAAAATACCCTGTACTTTTCTGTTAGTCGGTGATATACTGTACTGTACACTGTACAGGAAGTACTGTAGGGTATGTTTTACAGTGTACTGTACTGTACAGTACAATACAGTACAGTACAGTATGAAAGACTCAATCAAAGCTAGTAAAGAACTGTACTGTACAGTGTACAGTACTGTATACTGTACACTGTAAACGGGTTGTACTGTAAGGCCTGTACCACAAGTAGCTCAAAAAAAAAACGAATTATTACTTCTATACAGTATGACCCAGTATACAGTAGTGTACGCGTACGTACAGTACTGTATAAATCTGACTACGGTTGACAATGAATTGGCTGGTTGGTACTGACTGTGAACAATCTGTAGTCAATGGAGCGGCTGAAGCATGCGCAATTCAATCAACTGCCAATGTGGCTGAAGTGAAAACACCACAACTCTTGCGTCATCCACATTTTCATACAATAAGTAAAAAGTCAATATTGGAATGCGCCCGGTGCGGTTGCACTGAATGGCACAGTTTCAACTCCTTACTAGCCCAACTGGCACACCTTGCCATACTAATTCCATTTCTGATAATAAAAATTAAAAATGAATATACGTAGTTATTGATGTTCTACTTGGGGCCTATTAAATCCTCCTCTTCATCCAATAAAGCTAAGAGAGTAATCAGTTATCGATCAGAGAAGTGGCCGATCAAATAGATTGCTGGAAGCACTTTCTTCTATCTTTTCAAATATTTTTAGCCAATCAGGGAAATGTGGCGCATCCAGACAGTCAGATTTCCCCGCCTAAACAATCTCCCTCTGGTCCAATAGTTATGATAGTCACCAACGCTCATTCCTTCAAAAATGGAGTCATAAATTGTGGAGTATCATTTTGGTGGGAGAAGATAGTTTGAAACAGTTTGATGTAGTCCTTGGTCATACATAATGACTGCAATCATAGTACTGTATATATCTTTCACTGCAGTGCCAGCTATTAAGTATGATCTTTACTGATACGAGATCAAATACTATCCTACCCAAAATGCCACAACATTGCGCCCATAACTTTGGAGATAATTGTAAATACGAGTATAGATCGAAAATGGTAAGTCAAATAATAATCCCAAACACAGCTATATGAAATTACATTATGCATATGTAATAATAATGATGTACCACATATAATGAACTACTTTAAGCGACAGATGAAGATAGTAACAATCGTAATATTATTCATCTAAATAAATCCATCTTCTAACCCAAAATCAGTAATATATATGTATAATAATCAATTACATTATTAGTATACTTACTCAGTATCAACTGGATGTTCGTATCATAGACAATATCAATAAAATGGCTAGATCGGGGCAATAGGTATCATTTCACAAGTGTATCCGTACCGATTTTTAATCCTTTCAGCATTCTATTTATTTATTTTATTACTTAATCTTAATATCCTTGCATTATTACGCTACTTGTATTCGTTGATCATTTTTGTTATCTGATTGATATGAAACTCTAAACTAGATCGAATGCTCTTCGTCGATTATACGCATATCCCTGTCAATAAACTAATTGACTATCGTTACTCACAAGTGCATCAGTAGGTATCAGTCTGAGCTCATAGACCAAGTGTAATTGAAGCAGGCTTGGTAAAAGTTGTCCTCATAATTACAAATTCTAAGCAATTCTACTATGGAATAGATGTTAGCAATATCAATGGAATCGTAAAAATTAAAAACTATACCAAATTTAGTGAATTTTTCTATAGCATTTAATCTACTAACGAAATAAAAGTACTATTAAGCGCAAATATAATGCGTAACCTCAAAATTCAGTCTGGGGCTGATGGACCAAGTATGATTACAAATTCTAAGCAATTCTACTATGGAACAGACCGTGTCAATATCAATGGAATCATAAAACCTAAAAACTATACCAACTTTAGTTAACTTTCCTCTAGCATGTAATCTACTAACGAAACAAAAATACTAATAACACTAAATATAATGAGTAACCTCAAATTCAGTTTGGGACTGATGAACCAAGTATAATTGAGGCAGGCCTGGTAAAAATTGACTTCGTAATTGCAAATTTTAAACAATTCTAGAGTCTATATCAATGAATGCTAAAAACTATAACAAATTCACTACACTTTTCTCTAACGTTGAATCTGCAAACAAAATAAAAATACTATCAAGTATGGATAAATATAATACTAATATCATATCCAGTCTAAATTCATAGACTAAGTACAATTGTAGTAGGCTTGGAAAAAAATTGACCTCATCATTGCAAATTCTAAGCAATTCTAATGTCCAAGAGACAGTGTCTATATCAATGAAATTACAAACTATACCAAATTGAGTTAACCTTTCTCTAGCATTTAATCTGCCAACGAAATAAAAGTACTATTAATGATAAATAAATATAATATGTAACAACGCATTCAGCCTTGGCTCATTCATCAATTGTAATGGAAGTAGGCTTGGTAAAGATTGACTTCATAATTGCAAGTTCTAAGTACTTCTAGTATCTAAGAGACAGTATCTGTATTAATGTAATCGTAAAAACTATCATGAAATTCAATTCATTTTTCTCTAGCATTTAATCTGCTAATGAAATAAAATTAATATTTAGTATAATGCGTACTGCAATATTTAACTCAGAATTACTACTAGATGCATTTATTTTTTAATCTGTATCGATTTCAATGTCAAAACAGGTTTTCGAATGAAAATAAAGGAATAGAAAGTAATGGATAAAATCTACTTCAGAACTACTGCTACATATTGTACGTTTATTTTTTATTCCACAAGTAATCGATTTAACTCCAAAATAGCTCGAAAAATGAGATGGCAATAAAGAATTGTCGCTACAGAGTACCCAGTATTTATGTCAAAATCGCTGTAGCATAATATACAGATCTTCATTATATATAGCGATAACAGTACTCAAAATTTGTGCAGGCCAAAGAAACGGAAATGATGTTGTGATGATATTCGTATAAATCTTATGCCTAAACTACAACTGTAAATTACAAAAAACACATTTGCACAATATGTCAGAATTGCCAATTGCATTAGAATATATCAGCTTTGCGTCTTATATCAGCTGATATTTTAGAGTAGCCTTATGAAATTGAATTCATTCTGTGATAGCATCTTAATCTATTGGATTAAGATTATCAATTATCCTACTTCTATATCAAAATTGCTATCGTAGATCGCAATGTAAAGTTTTGTAAGATGTTAAACGGATAAGATACAAAGAATATTGGTATGTCACTCCTCTTGTTAGCTACAATATCCAAACTCTGTCAACATGCAAAGAAATGCTAAATTTCAAGACCTTTCTCCCACAATCAAGAAATATTAGCTTAATCAGTATACTGTACAATTTGAAATAAGATTTATTGCAAATAGACTCTATGACCAACTACAATATGCTGCTTTATAAATTAAATTTTAAGCGGTTTCACACTCCACGCCAATGAGACGTAAAAGTAGCTTTAAAGAGCCGATCAAATGATATGTACTCAATTTTAGTACGAAACCTTCGACTTCAAAGTATTTAATCTCCGTATTAGAATTATTGCTATAAAATTAACAATCTTATACCAATCAATAATAATGGTCTTGCGATATCAGATTGAAGTTTCAAGGATATTTAACTTGTTTAAATAAAAAATTTGACTTGAAATATCGAACTACAATTGCTGTTAAATAATGTACGATTACAGTCGTTATGAAGAATAAGTACGGTAGCTTATGGCCACTAAATTGATCTAAATCGTTAACTTCCAAATCGTTTTCTCCATCTTTGATACAGTTTAAATGGTGCTACA